TTTGCAACCAGGGTCTCACATCCATAAGTTGGTATGGGACACACTACTACGTTATAATTTCAAGTCAGTATCGCAAGCTTATATCACAGCCTACAAAGATGATTGTCAGTTTATAGTCCACGCCTTTTTAAGAGTACGTGCAGTCGCTTGCTCGGAGACTTGATCATCAATGGTGAATAACGATCCAGATAACTGAGTTGATAGACCACCTATAGTAGCTACTCCGTGATAGCTAATGCCAGTTAGATGTGTGTGGTGATTATACAATGTGCTACAGCAACGCATTACAATCAGAAGTTCAGAACCAAGTGCTAACTGATACTTCGCTTAACGTTATCTCATTCTCCAGCAATCGTACCGTACTGGGGTTGGACTTTAAGAGAGTGATGCCATTAGCCCTTCTTGAATTTTACCTGTAAACACTGATATGCTTTCGAAGTCGACAGGGGACATATGGATAAGAGATAAGAAAATCCAGCGGCACGCCAGTTGCTTTGGTAAACTTCCGAGATTTCTTGTAAACTCGCACACGACTTAAGGAGTCGCGGCATAGGAATTTCAGAATCCATAATATCAGTCGCGATAGGCCACCAACTGGATGACGCTTTTGGAGAGCATCGTTAGATTGGCAAATGTTTAACAACAAGCGGCTTTTTGCAGAATTTCACACCGACTTCGTCTGTGAATGTTGCATACCAAATTTCTAACACACATTCATCTGGTTCACAACGACCTATCTAGGAATAGGTAAGCTTTCCGATTATCTCATCTACCTATCAAGCGGACGAAACCAGGTCATACCTTCAACTCCCGCTATTGAATATAACGTGAGATATCCTATCAATGCGGTTCAGATACAGTCTTCACTTTCGAGGTAATTGCCAACACCGTCATAAACGAACTACCAGTCGCGAGCCACCTACCCCGAAGGAGCAGTGGAATTTCCTTATCCGTGAAGCAGGCAGTCGGTGTGAAATTTCGTTCCCGATAATCGGAGTGTCAAAATGGTAGCGCGAAAACGCGGCCACGACCGGGGGGGAGTAGACGTTTATTGCACACCGAAAATGGGCACATGAGGGTCTCGCGCGCGCCATCGAATATCGACTAGGTTTCCGTCCCACAACGCAACACAGGTACGGATGTTAGAGACGAGCCAGTCCTTTCGCCTCGGGAGCTCTGACTTGGAAGATCCGCCTTCCTGTTTTCGCCTCGATCTCCGCTTCTCTGCACCCGATTTGGATCGGCCAGGAGTCGTTCGAGAGCTCTCGACTTGCTTGTTCTGGGCTGTGTCAATCGGCTCGGCCTCGGTCCTGTGGGCTGCGCTAGCGGCGTATTTGTCTGATTTATTGCGCTGTCCACATATTCCCGCTCCGTAGTTCCGGGCCCAGGCTCGTCGCTAGCCGTCTTTCGCGATCCGCTCTCAGCTAGCTCCGAAGAGCTCCCCAGAGCCATTCTTGGAAGCGGCCCCTCTACACCCGCCCCTCCTCCAGGACCTTTCTTCCTCTCGTACCATGGTCGCAGGAGAGCAGCATTCACCCAACGTTTCATTCCTCCGCAGTCGATTAAGAAGTTGCCCGCTTTCTGGTCGATAATGGTGTAGGGGCCTTTCCAGCGTTCTCTGAACTTGCTTGCGCCCGGCCCGTCATGATCCGGCCGATCGTTGTTCCGTAACTTGACTCGTTCTCCAATCCTGAATGGCCTCCACTTGTGAGCCTCATGCCTGGCGTCGTAATTTCGCTTATTCCGCGCTTGTCGAGCTTTGGTTTCGCTTCTAGCTTTCCCATCGCAGTCGCTCTTGATGCTCAGCTGGATGTTTCCACTCACCCTGGTTCGGTAGGCAAGTATCGAGCGCAATCCGTGGTTCTCTGCCGAACAGTAATTCGAATGGCGAGACCTTGGTGGTTGATTGCATGCTGGTCCGATACGCGATCAGAACCTGAGGCAAAGCATCTTCCCATGCCAACTTCGTGCAGTTTATCCACGTCTTCAATGTCCGGTTGAACCGCTCGGTCATCCCGTTGGTTTGTGGGTGGTACGGTGAAGTTCGCCGTCTCTGGATGCCCCACTTGTCCAACACTGACTTAAACGCTCTTGACTCGAAGCAGGGCCCTTGGTCCGTGATGATACACTGTGGGATCCCATACCTTGCAGGCACATTGAATTCGAATACTTGCGACACTGTCTCGCCTGTTTGGTCCTTGATTGGTATGGCTTCCACCCATCGAGTGAAGTGGTCAATCATCACTAGAATGTATCTGTTTCCTGTTCGACTCACTGGTAAGGGCCCAAAGACGTCCAGTCCCCAACACTGAAGTGGCTCACCAACCTCCATCGATCGCATCGGCGGTCTCGGGGACTCCATCTCCCGACTCGTTTGGCAGTTTGGGCACTCCTTCCTCATGGTTGGCCAAAACACTCGCCTCCGCAGCAATTCAAAGACCGCTAGAATACCCATATGGGCGCAATTGACGTTGGTGCAGAATCTCGCCATAATGACCATTCTGGTTGCCTCGGATACAGCGGGCGGACACGTTCCGGTTTACCGTAAATTGAGTCGTGAAGTGGTGCTTGAAAGACTATTATCGACAACAGTGCTACTCCATTTGGAATGGCGATTTACATTTCTGTTCAAACTCAGGCATGCTGGATGCTTCCACTGTCACGCGCTCCGACAAAATTCTGGGCGACTGTCACCAGATCCAAAGCTTTGATGTCTCCACACCACAGCGACGCCAATTCAACGGTTCATGGAGTGGAACGGCAGACTTCGGATAATATGCTGTTTCAGTAGCGCTCTATTGCTTTGCCCTCTAACTCGCCCCTTTTTCTTTTTAGGGGAGCCCAATCGTTAGATGTATGTCAGCATGCTGGAGAATAAAACATCACAAATCCTCCTGTTCGTCCATTCTGGCTGCGTGAAATCGTTGCAGTGCTCGTTCTCTCTCCAGATCCTTCCCAACTTCTGCACACAAGGCAGCCCTCATCTCAGCGAACGAACAGCCGGGTTTGGCCTTTCGAGTGAGCAGATACACCGCCTTGGCTCGTCCACTCAACCGTGTGCCCAAAGCAATTAGCAAATTTGCATCCCCCCTCACACCCGTGCAAGCCGCAATTCCGTCGAACTCATCGAGCCACGCCTCCACGTCACCGGCCGCAAATTGCTCCAACCGGGTCAACTCCATCGCGATTGGTCACGGCACCAGTGTAGCGAAAAACGACACGACAGGGGGGTAGACGTTTATTGCACACCGAAAATGGGCACATGAGGGTCTCGCGCGCGCCATCGAATATCGACTAGGTTTCCGTCCCACAACGCAACACAGGTACGGATGTTAGAGACGAGCCAGTCCTTTCGCCTCGGGAGCTCTGACTTGGAAGATCCGCCTTCCTGTTTTCGCCTCGATCTCCGCTTCTCTGCACCCGATTTGGATCGGCCAGGAGTCGTTCGAGAGCTCTCGACTTGAGTT